GATGTCGATATTTTAACGGTTTTTTATTTCTATTTTATCAGCTCAAAGACTCAATAGAATAGATTGAAGTAGTGTTTTGATTTCATTTTTCATTAAAAAAACACTAATTTCGAGTAGCTCGAATTTCGGGTAGCTCGAATTTCAGGTAGCTCGAATTTCGGGTGGCTCGAATTTCAGGTAGCTCGAATTTCGAGTAGCTCGAATTTCGGGTGGCTCGAATTTCGGGTAGCTCGAATTTCGAGTAGCTCGACCCGGTGCATATCTAATTTATACCGTGCCATCCGTTTTCAGCCATAATACCAAACATTTTTGGATATAAATCGTTTCTATCTGCTTGTTGAATTTCTTTTAAAATATCTGTTAATGGAATGCTAAAAGATTCTTTTAATGCTAGAAGTAGAGCCACATGGGGGTAATTCTGATAATCGCCTAAAACTTTTCAGATATTTTGAGCATATTTAAGTCATTTTTCACCGTAGAAAATCAGTATTACGCAGGTAGATAGAGCTGACTCTTAGCTATCTACTGATGTAAATTTTTTTCTAAAATTCTTTAACATTAATTAGTTCTAATCAATTTCCAGTGAATAGGTTTAGAATTATCATAATTCCCCCATTTGGGGTAATTGTGATAACACAGCTATTTTTCATGGGGTAATTATGATAATCTCGTGTAAATGACATGGATAAACAGAAATAAATCTTCACCGTCTCTCAGAAGCCAATTTCGATGCTATACTAAATGATAAAGTTGTTCAAAATCCTATAATCTACCACATATGTGAAAACTGCGAAAAAAAAACAGTATTTTCAACGAGTAATGGGCGTATAATAGACCTAGAGTATTTTAAACGCATTTTTGGCAATAGGAAGAGGATTTTATAGTGTACATGAAAAGTTTCAAATGTCCATGATCTAATTGCTAATTTAGGCTGTAGCTTAATGATTCTACTAATTTGAATGCACAAAAATGCGTTTAAAATACTCTAGGTCTATTATATGCCCATTACTCGTTGAAAATACTGGTTTTTTTTCGCAGTTTGGGAATTGGGATTCAATGACCATATCAGTCTGTCGTTCTAATTGATTCAATATATGTACTTTATTAATTATATCCTCTCAACATTCATTACTCTCTTCGCTTTTCTTCTTTTTGTAATTGTTACTCTTTACATATAATTGCTCTTGTTTTAGGTCTCTTTAAAAATCGTCCTTGGTAATGAAAATTGTTTACTTCAAGTATTTTTATTTTTTATTTACTTACTTTTTTTGAAATTACCACTTTCACAAGGCCTATAAAGACGGACTGCATCCAATAGAACGATGAGATTCATCTCATTATTAAACTGTTTAAACCAACTACTGAATATTTGAATTTGTGATAGAGTTAAGCATAAATCCGATCGAATAATTTAATCACTGAACAGACAACTACAGGGAACAGTTCTGTATGTATTCTAGTACATAATTTATTGTATGCACGAACTTATAACTAATCGTCTTTGAACTCGTATTATTATATCATAGAGTACATAAAAATTTAAATCATCTCAATTGTTTACACATACGATTCTTACAAGAATTTTATTTTATATTAGGCACATGTCTAAAAAGTTGTTGTCAGAATTCATTAGCCTAACTTCTGTATTTCAAATTTCACGGTGAACCGATGGGAATTTCATTGCATCTCAATATATTAATAGTCCATATTAGCTCCAAAGTCTGGTATTTCTCCTCGGTTTACTAATGTTTCCCATTCATCTAACTTTTCTGAACGATAGTTCCAAAATTTTTTACATAATTTAAAATATTTTAGAACAACTTGTCGTTCACCTAATTCGAGAAGATCTTTGGCAAGACTCATATTTGGACCAAAACTGCCAAGCACAGCCGATCCAGGCGTATGACCAGCAGCTAGTAAAAATTGTTTTGCAGTTTCCAAATTATTATCTCGTCTTAATGCAACAATTCCATTATATAAATTTCCTTTAAACATCATATCACCATAATCATATTCTTCAGGCTTAATTTGAAGCATTTCATCAGCAATGGCCTTTGCTTGATCATATTGTTTATCGAATATAGCTTTGTAGCAGGACGCATTTAAATTGGAATGGCGCCCATAGTCGTTTGTATCTTCCTTTTGTTCATTTAATTCGAGGGTTACAACTTTGTTATTGGAATCAACTTGAATCCAAACAATTTTTGGATCTTTATTTCTGAGTAATTCAAGTAGTGGTTCAATATCAGTGACATTCTCCATATCGACCGGTATAATATGAGGTATAAGACCTACAAGAATAAGGGACTCGGTTCATTCTATTTAAGCAAAAAACAAGAAGACAATTGTGACATATTATCAAGGGGGAAATTGCGGACTTTATAGACTTGAGTGGACTTTAAAGTCCTCTCGGATCTTTTAAAAGTCCTAAAGTCCGCGGACTTGAGTGGACTTTGGCGACTTTAAAGTCCGGTCAAGTCCTCCCAAGTCCGTTGAAGTCTAAAGTCCACAATTTCCCCCTTGCATATTATCATCATTTATTAGTCCATTAGTAACATAAGAATTTTTGTTGGACATTAGAACCTCAATAAGGTCATGATATACCATAGAAACGAAAACGTTTTTTCTCCTTCAAACGTATCTTCAAGAAAAATGAACCTAATATTTGAAATTAGGGTCAAATTCTGCATCGACTGATGTATGTTTCAAGAGAATCTAAGAAAAACATTTCCGATATTCCTAGAGTGGTATAGTGGTGAACATTTTTCGAAAGTCGTTTTTTTCGAATAAAAAAACATATGCCGTTTTGTTCACAGCTTGATGTCGCTTCTAACCATAATATTTTTCTTCAAAATATTTTAGACCGAAAACATTCCTTATTTGCTCTCCTCATTTATGGTATATAGGACGGCAGGCTCGTAGGTTCAGATGGCGTTGTTTAGCAGTGTCATATAGAAGAAAGGGCAGTATGGGTTTACTGATGTAAATATGTTTCACATAATGTTAAAACTCAGACTTAATAATTACCTACCATCGTCTCTAATTCGATCAGCAGCTACAGTTCCATCCAGACCGATAAGTTCTGGCCACGATTTCTTTTCCAAAGACATTATTGCTAATGAACTATTGATATGTTACTGGAAACAAAATCACTATTCAAGTTTTTTATGATAATCAACAAATTGTATTTTCATAAAGCTGTTTTTTAAAATCCAAAATCGTACACTTTTATACAATCAATAAATGCGCATACCAAAAGTGAGAGAACAAAAAGCAAATACGATGTATTTATTCAAGCATTCATTCCGTTCGAATGCGTATAATGTACGTAACTAACTGCGTAATTAACAGACTCAGAAACGGAGAAAGATTGCCACCTCTCCTGTGACAGTACTCGCAATTCTTGCGTTCTTTTGTAAATCTGCTCTCTATATTTCTTCTCATGTGGACGATAGAGAAAAACGATGGTTGAAAAAGAACGCATGCGTTTTTCTCTTTCCTTCTCTCTTCAGCGATAAACACAGAGTATGAAGCAGTTTGCCTTTGCTGCTGACATTCTCGGTATCGGTTTTCTCGCCGAAAAAAGCATTTTAGAAAGAAGAAAAGTTGGAAAATTCAATTTTACACTTTCTTCTCTTGACTCAACTTTAGAAAACGCTGATCTCCCAAGTATAACCTGAAAAAAAACCTCTCACTGTTCACTTTGCTTTTTACAGAGAAATGAACAAGTAAGGAAAGTTGAATTTTCAATTTTTTTATTTTAAAATCCAAAATCGTACACTTTTATACAATAGAGCCGTGTAAAATAAGGAATATCTCTATCTTTTCACATCACGGCAAATGTTAGCAAATGTCTGAACAATAATATCAATTAAAAATTATTAATTTTTTTTCATATGATAAATTTACATGTCTTTCACGGGTGATACATTTAAAACTTTCAATAAACTATTGAACTTTTCTTTATCTGAATTAGCGTGAAAATTATCTTTCGTTTCGACATCAGATGATGATGAAGTATCGGTAGATGAGAAGTTATGGACAGAATTAATCGCAGATGGTTTGAAAAATGCCACTGGCGTTTTATGTAAATAATCAATCGCTTCAGTATCAAATGAACTACTAGGTGTTGGAGACCATGTTCGCCTTCTTTTATGAATAGAAAGCAGTAATGGTGACACAGTTGCTTGAAAACTTGGGTCTGATTCTTCATCCGATGCACCTTCTTTGATAGATTTTTTGTTCGACCATCGCCGTTGTTCAGCAGCATAATATGTTTCACATAGCAAATCGTTTTCTTTGAGTGTAGATACTTTTCCTTCATAACGTTTTCGAATGTATTTGTTGATTGATAAGGCTATTTCAGCCGTGACTTTTCTTTTCCCTACTGGTACTGATGACAGAATTGCACCTCGCTTATGGCGAGGGTGCGCAGTAGGATGTGCACAAGTGGGCATGAATAAATCTTATCTAAAAAACCAAGAGTA